CGATTCCGGATTGAAAATGAGGATGAACACGAAGAACACACAACCCTAAATCGCCCAACCTCCAATTTCACTCTCCCAACCCGAAATTAACCAATGTACTCTCCTTTTTCCAAAAACAATCACGTAAACCGAATTAGGATTTCAGAAAACAGGAACGACACGCTGACTTTGAAAGCACACCGAGAACGGAGATTATCTCAGAATCAGAATCGGAAACCTGATCTAGAAACTAGACAGAGAGATATTTCCACAGATAGGCGGATCGTCTCTTAAGTCCTTCTGGTTCGACGGAAATCTTCTCTCAAAATGGACTGATCGCAGACCCAAAACTGCAGAAACATCTCTTAGAAAAAGTACGATAACTCTCAGAATACTAATCCAATACCGATTTCGTCTGAAGCTAGATATGAGAGTGGAGAACTTACCTAGAATTTTCACTCAAATCCGATCTGATTAGACTGTTCGCTCCTCTATTCTTCTAAAACGGGCCAGAACTGTCTCCAAAACAACAATCTCTTATTCTCTCTCACAACCTACGAAATCTTCTCCTTTTCCTCTCCAAAATCGGCTGCAAAAACGTCTCCATGCGTTTTTATATCATGCCTTAGGGTTCCCTTAACCCCAAACCAGCCAAACCAACAATTGAACCAAAACGGTCGGTTTAATTAAAACTTGTGTCGATCGACACACAGCCAAAATTCACTGAATTTGGTTCACGGGTGTTACAACATGAATCATAAACCAGAAAAATCTCTTAAACTAATTAATCAAGTAATAAGAATATCTTACCCCAAAATAATCTGTTTTTTTTTTCTTAATCAACCTGCTTGAATCTCGTAACAATGCAGTCAATGTATAAGCTGCAGCTTTTTGTGTTTCATAATCTATAAAATCATGGATATGCATACTAGACGATTATATGCCCATATGTTTTGTGGCAAAGGTAAGGTATATACTTGAGTTATCTTATGATCAAAGTCACAAAATCAACATTATCGATTACAAGGCACACGCTACAGAGATCGGTACCCACATATATCCAGCAAGTATCAAATAGACACAAAAACTAAAAATATTAAAACAGTTCTAAGAAAAAAAAATTAAAACATCATCTGATTGTAAAAAAAAAGATAATGTATATGTCCAATCTTTAGTTACTTTTTCTTCTGATTTGATCTCTTTAACCTCCCAAACCACGAATATACCTTTACCCTTTGGGTTAATTTTGCTACACGTATACCTTCAAACAACTCTCATATTTTGCAACAACTCTGAAAACATTTAGTGAGGACAAGCAACTCTGATAGGAAGTTGATGTTATG